CACATGATATTCTTATTACTAATGAGCACGTACACTATGCCCCCGCGACAAGATTTTGCATGATATATATCATGGATAATATGAAAAACGGTAATAAAGAAACGGTAAAGAACGGTAAAGAAACGGTAACGTAAACGTAAAAAAAACGGTAAAAAAAACGGTATGAAACGGTAAAAAACGGTAAAGAAACAGTAAAGAACGGTAAAGAAACGGTAACGTAAACGGTAAAAACGGTATGAAACGGTAAAAAAAGGTAAAGAACGGTAATTATTTCAATGGTACAGACCATAAATATTCGTGTAAGATCTCGCTCTTATGCATCACAATGTAGCATTTATGTGCTAACACACCAATTTGTGGTCAACAGTAAGATTTCTGTCTCTCTCTTATGCGTCACAATGTAGCATTTTAGTGCTGTCGCATCGATTTGTGGTTGACAGCAAGATGCGCAGAAAAATGTGAAACAAGATACCATCATGAAGATCATGGAGATATGCATATTTTGCACGTTTTGAAACATATAAAATCATGAGTATTACATCAGCGCATAGTTCAGTCGAGATCCAAGCAGCAACAGATACGGGACACATGCAACAAATTGAACGGCTAAAATGGAGGCAAAATCAAGAAAGATATCGATGGTGCAGTTTTTGCGTGACAGAGAACTCGGTTTGCGGGGAATAAACAAACGCGGAGTGAAGGAAAATGTTGAAGTTCTCAGGTGCTACTCCCAAATTCGCTGGCCTCGTGACTTAGTGCTGGAGCACATTAATCAGATAGTGGAAGATGCACGTAGAATTGCGACTGAGAATGCATATGAGATAAATACTGAATTGAAGGAGCTTATAATGCATCCAGACATCAGAGTGCTGAACAATAACTTTAACCTTCAAAATTTCTATATAAAAATTCCGGCAGGTGGTGGCAAGTTTACACGTATAGTGTTGTTCCATGACATACATTTCTACGATAATTCGTGCAATGATGATATGTCAATTTTAAAGATAGAGCGACACGATAAACGCGAACTCTGTATGTATTATCGAGACAATTTGAACCGGCCAAAATTAGATGAAAAAGTTTTGAACTGGCGACCAAGGATGGGTGATATCATTTTGGACATACGACGATGTCAAGGGTGTATGATGGTTGGGATCTGATGTCTACGAGGCTGCTGATGAGAGGGAGGATAAAAATGAGAAACAGTCGGCCGATAATAGTAAGAGAGCACACAATATTTATTGCAATAATTTCACATAAAATTTACTAATATAATCGATAAATGTAACATTATAATAAAAAGTAAAATATTATAATAAAATTTATTATACATATCAAAGGTCACGTAAAGAAACGGTAAATAACGGGAGTGAAACAGTAAAGAAACGGTAAATAACGGGAGTGAAACAGTAAAGAAACGGTAATGAAACGGTAATGAAACGGTAACGTAAACGGTAAAAACGATAAAAAATGGTAAAGAACGGTAAAGAAACGGTAAAACGGTAAAGAAACGGTAACGTAAACGGTAAAAAACGGTAAAAACGGTAAAGAAACGGTAAAGAACGGTAAAAAAAACGGTAACGTAAACGGTAAAGAACGGTAAAGAAACGGTAACGTAAACGGTAAAAAAACGGTAAAGAACGGTAAAGAAACGGTAATGAAACGGTAATGTGCTGATACATCAATGTGAGGATGCGGTTGACTGCATGTGACACATATGATGTTACTATTACGTTAGGCTGTGCTGATTTTGCACATTTGCCACCCTCTCCTAACGAGACATATTTGTTACAAAGAGATAGCGATGGACCATATAAAAGTCACCCAGGAGTCACCAGCAAATAGTTCAAGTTTGAATTGCGAGTTACAATGTTCTACACAGTAGAATACTGTAGACGTCAACCCGAGGAGATGGTTTGGCTATCAAACCCTTCACGTAAGTTTTTAATAAATTGTATGATAATAATAATAATGATAACTTTGATTATTTATATTTTTAAATAAGAATTGACTCAATTTTAGCAATGTTCGAGGAAGACCAAATATATGTGGAGTGGTTGAGAGAAATTTTACGTAAGTTTACGTGCAAATTTCATGTTTCTGTATAGAACATAAACTTTAAAATTAATCTTTAAATATGATTTTAGATGATCATGACGCATATGATCCTGAATCATCCGACGGCGATGAGGATGAGATAGATGTACAGTCGACCAATGGTAAGAGAGAGCAGACAATATGTTTTTACAATTTGACATCAAATTTTCGATTTTTTGTGTGCAGAAAAGCGTTAAAATTAATTTTTAAATTTGATTTCAGAAAATATAGAAGTCATTGATATATCCTCATCTGATGATGAGATAGAAGTACAGTCGATCAATGGTAAGAGAGAGCAGACAACATTTTTTACAATTTGGCATCAAATTTTCGATTTTTTCTGTGCAGAAAAGCGTTAAAATTAATTTTTAAATTTGATTTCAGAAAATATAGAAGTTATCGATATATCCTCATCTGAGGAGGAGGAGGAGGACGACATTGATATCGCCGACTTCGATGAGGAGGAGGATAATATAGAAATAATAGATATCGCCGACAGCGAAGAGGAAGGCGTAATTATAATAAATTAAATTAGGGTAATAATTATAAATAAAATTATAATAATTACTATTATTATATATTATTATGTATTAAATGTAGCATTATAATAAAAATTTATTATACATATCAAAAGTTAAACAATTCTTTCTGGCGCTGACACCACCACCAATTAAATATTTTCAATACATTTTGTAACGCACAGTGTTCTGTATGATTATTACATCGTAAAATGTTGGTTGCATCCAGCTTGTCCAAAGACGCCATATCCTCGTAATCCGCATCCAGAGTCTCAACGATCACCTTTTCCCTCACATCATCATCGAGAAGATTCGTCAACCACTCTCGCTTCTCGTATCCCTTGACGTAGACGAGTTTGGATTCTTCGCTGGTTTCGCTGATCACAGCGTCCGTGATCAAACGTTTCGCTTTGTTGTACGGGACGATTCCATCCTTCCAATGCAGACCATGATGATTAGCCGTCAACCATGCTGCTTT